TCATTCGTCACAGAAGAGTTAGACCAAAGGGTCTGTTTTGGTGCTGCATGACTCTATGTTAATCTGGTAAATGGGGGTGAGCCTGTGGAATTCACTATCATAGAAAGCAGTTGAGGCTAAAAATATTGTACAATTTCAAAGTGGTGTTGATAGAGGTTTCAAAGTGGGGCTAAAATGATCAAAGGATATTGGGAGGGGAAGCAGGAACAGGCTATTGAGTTGGATGATCAGCCATGATCAAGGTGAATGGTGGAGTAGACTAGAGGGCTTCTTGCTCCCATTCTCGATGTTGCCATGTTTAAACCTCCTGTGAACTGCTTCTAATGCATTTGCATTCTTCCTTACTTTGCTCATTGGTCTAGGGCTTTAATTCTCACTTAGGGCCTTGTACATTGTAGACACGTGAGTGGTCCCAGGTTCAAATCCCGGACGAGCCTTGATTTTTCAAGGCGGCACGGTGGTTCAGCGGTCAGCACTGGGAACTCATGTTCGATTCCAGCCACAGGTGACTGTCTGTGTGGAGTGTGCACATTCTCCCCCTGTCTGCGTGGGTTTCCTCTGGGTGGTCTGGCTTCCTCCCACAGTCCAAAAAGTGTGCAGTTTAGATGGATTAGCTGTGCTAGATTGCCCCGTAGTGTCCAGGGATGTGAGGGCTAGGTGGTTTAGCCATGGAAATGTGGGTTGCAGGGATAGGGGTGGGTCACGGTGGGATGCTCTTCGGAGGGTCAGTGTGGACTTGATGGGCCAAATGGCCTGCTTCCACACAGCAGGGATTCTATCATACGATTCTAAAAAAGGTGTACACAGTACTCCAGACTGTGAAACTGAAACGTAACCTCCCTACTTTTGAATTCAATTCCCCTCGTAATAAATGATAACATTTTATTAGCTTTCCGGATTACTTGCTATACCTGCATACCAATTTTGCGATTCATGCACCAGGATACCCAAGTCCCTCTGCATCTCAGAACTCTGCAATCTCTCACCTTTCACAAAGTGTGCTTCTTTGTTATTCTTTCTGCCAAAATAGACAATTTCACACTTTCCTACATTACACTCCATGCGTCACATCTTTGACCACCTACTTAACCGTAACCTTCTTGTTGGAAACACTGTATTTTAAGAACACTTTGCACTTGAGGAAACTTGTGGTGTTTAAGACTTTGAAATTTGCTTGTGTTTAATTGTTTCATTATCTCACAGGTATAGACTTGAGAAGTAGGCAGGTTTTGGTTGGATTGTACTTGCGAGGACTGCGTGCAGTTCTGGTTGCCAGATTTTGATAAAAGATATAGAATCACTGGAGAGGGTGCGAGGGAAGATCTACAAAGATGATGCATGTAACACAGGAATATAAATACCGGGAAACGATTAACAGGTTGCGTCTCAGCTCTCTAAAATATAGAAAGCTGAAGGATCATCCAAGAGTAGTTTTCATGAGAAGTTTTGTAATTGTCACAAAGAAATCCCAACAAGGAAGCCAGAACAGAAACCCTCACTCAGAGAACTGAGAGAATATGGAAGCTGTTTCCAAAGACAGTGGTCTAAGAAACTAGTATCAAAGTTTTTAAGAAGGTGGCGGTTTTTGTCACGACATTAGTAAGCCAGGTGAATACTCTGTAAACATGGCTGCCGGAGATGTTAAAATTCAGTTAATAAATCTGGAATTCAAAGCTAGACTCATACAGTCTTACAGTTGTACAGCATAGAGACAGACCCTTCGGTCCAACTTGTCAATGCTGACCAGATATCCTAAATAAATCTAGTCCCATTTGCCAGCATTTGGCCCATATCCCTCTAAACCCTTCCTATTCATGTACCCATCAGATGCCTTTTAAATGGTGTAATTGTACCAGCGTCCAACACTTCCTCTGGCAGCTCATTCCATACTTGCACCACCCTCTGCATGAAAAAGTTACCCCTCAGGTCCCTTTTAAATCTTTCCCCTCTCATCTTAACCTTATGCCCTATTTTGGACTCCCCTACCCTGAGGAAAAGACCTTGTCTATTCACCCTATCCATGCCCCTCATGATCTTTTAAACCTCTATAAGGTCATCTCTCAGCCTCCGACGCTCCAGGGAAAATAGCCCCAGCCTATTCAGCCTCTCCCGACAGCTCAAACCCTCCAGCCCTGGCAACATCCTTCTACATCTTTTCTGAGCCCTTTCAAGTTTCACAACATCCTTCCTTTAGCAAGGAGATCAGAATTGCACCCAGTATTCCAAAAGTGGCCTTACCAATGTCACGTACAGCCACAACATGACCTCCCAACTCCTATACTCAATGCACTGACCAATAAAAGCAAGCATAGCAAATGTCTTCTTCACTGTCTTATCTACCTGTGCCTCCACTTTCAAGGAACAACCAACCTGCACTCTAAAGGTCTCGGTGTTCAGCAACATTCCCTAGGCCCTTACCATTAAGTGTATAACTGCTGCCCTGATGTGGCTTGAGGGGCTATACTTGCTCCTGTTTTTTTTTAAAAAATGCACCTGTCCCCCCAAGACATCCCGATGCAAATCTTTTCCCCTTTCAGTATATATTCAATCTCCCCTTCTGGAGCATCCCTATTGCATCTGCTCCCACCACCCTTTCAGACAGCGTGTTCCAGATCACATCAATTCAAAATAAGCATTTCTCCTCACCTCCCCGCTGCCCTCTGGTTCTCTTCCTGATTCTCTGTTCCTCTTGCCCCTAGAAACAATCTCTCCTGATTGACTGAATCGGAAACCCCTTCTTGGTCGAATTGAGTGAAGCACCTCTACTCTGAGATTGTTCCAACGCAGCACCCTCTCAGTAAAGGAGGAGTGGGTGAGGTAGAATGACCGCAACAGTCCGAGACTGTGTGTGTGTATGTGTGTGTGAGAGAGAGAGAGAGAGAGAGTGAGATGGTTGTTTAGGGGTGAGGTGTTAGGAATTGCGAGGAGGAGGTCGGGGGTGGGGGGAGGTGTGGATGTGCAGATGCTCAGTCTCACCTTCTACGTACAAGATGGCATCACAGAACAGTTCATCCTGCTGCTGCCTGTGCAGGTTCTCAAATGCTGCCTTGTGAACGGACAGCTTGGGGCTCGGGAGCTTGGAACCAGAGGTTGAAGCCTCCATCTTCAATCCAATCTCATCACTGCAACCTGCAGGGAGAGGGGAAAGAAAATTGCACACATCTTAAGTGTCGCTGCCTCCCACATACCTCAACAAGTTCATTTGGCACAACCGTACGACAAAGGGAGATCATTTTGTCTTCCAAGTCTGCCATTTTAAAGACTCTTTTTTTTTCCCCCCAAATGACAGGCAATGACTAGCAGTGTACTGCTGGGATCACTGAAAGCGATTCACAACCTATATTAATGATTTGGATGAAGGGACTAAATGTAATATCTTCAAATTTGCAGATGACACAAAGCAGGGTGGGGAGGGTGAGCTGTGAGGAGGATGCAGAGATGTTTCAGTGTGATTTCGACAGCCTGAGTGGGGAAATATATAGAAGCTGCAGTATAATGTGGATATATCGGAGTTTATCCACTATGGTAGCAACCAGAGAAGGGCAGATTATTATCTGAATGGTGACAGATTGAGAGAGGGGAATGTGTAGCGAGGCCTAAGTTACCTTGTAGACCAGTTGCTGAAAATATGCAAAAAACAAAGTAAACAAAAAAAATGGGTTTCTGAAGAATGGTCACTGGACCCAAAACTTTGACTCTGCTTTCTCACCACAGATGCTGCCAGATCGGAGTTTCTCCAGCAATTTCTGTTTTGATGCTGAAAATAAGCAGGCAGTAAAGAAGGCAAACTGTATTTTCGCCTTCATAGTGAGAGGATTGGAGCACAGGAGCAGGGGTGTCTCACTGCAATTGTACAGGGCCTTGGTGAGACACACCTTTGGTCTCCTTATCTGAGGAAGGACATTCTGGTGATGGAGGGAGGGCATTGAAGATTTCCCAGACTGATTCCCGGGATGATAGGACTGACAATATGAAGAGAGACCAGATCGGTTAGGATTATATTCACTGGGGTTTACAAGAAGGAGGATCTCATAGAAATCTATAAAACTCTAATGGTGCTAAACAGGAACAGGATGTAGGATGTTCCTAATGACGGGAGAGTGTAGAATCTGAGGTCATAACTTAAGGTAGGACTGAGATGAGAAATGTATTCACCCAGACAGTGGTGAGCCTGTGGTATTCTCTGCCACAGAAACCAGTAAAGGCCAATGGCATCTGGGGCTAAAGTGATGAAAGAATAGGGAGGAAAAGTGGGAACATGCAATTGAGTTGGATAATCAGCCATGATCACAATGAAGGGCAGAACAGGCTCGAAGGCTCCTATTTTCTATGTTTCTTTGTCTCTCTATGCATTTTCATTAAATCACAAACTTTGCACACTCCTTTCCCCAGCTTCAAAGGGCCAGGCTAGCTGAAGGCATGGACATCATTATAGTGGGGCAATTAAACTGGTGGAGCTTGGAGATCAGGGAGGGTCACCGGGGCTGGGGACGCTGGAGAGCGCTATGCGAAGAACCCAAGAACAAGAATTGTAAATTGGGTTGTTAGCTGGACTGGGAGCTTAGGTAGGGAAGGAGGAGACGAGTTAGGAGGACAGAGCTAGCAGCTACTTTGGAGCAACCCAGTCTGATTCCGAATCCACCCACTCACTTTCTCTCTCTCACAGCAATGTGAACTTCAGGCTTCGTGGCTGTATGAGTTACGATAATCGTCAACTAATTTATTGCCACGTGCCAGGATTAACGTCTGATGCAGCAGACGATGGAATAATAAAATGGAAGTGAGAAGCAGAACAGCTCAAAGTCCATTACAATACATTCTTAACTCTTGATCAACTGAGCAGAGCGCGACGAGAAAGCCTACTCAACAGAAAGTAATACTGCCATCGTGGTGACATGCCTTATTGTACAAAAGAGGTCAGACAGATACTGAAGGAATCAATACATACATAGGAACAGCAGGAGGCCATTCAGCCCCCTTCTCCAGCCTGTCTCACAGGAACAGGAGGAGGCCATTCAGCCCCTTCTCCAGCCTGTCACACAGGAACAGGAGGAGACCATTCAGCCCCTTTTCCAGCCTGTCCCACAAGAAGAAGCCATTCAGCCCCTTCTCCAGCCTATTATACAGGAATGAGAAGAGACCATTCAGCCCCTTCTCCAGCCTATTACACAGGAGCAGGAGGAGATGACCATTCAGCCCCTTCTCCAGCCTATTACACAGGAGCAGGAGAAGGCCATTCGGCCCCTTCTCCAGCCTATTACACAGGAACAGGAGGAGACCATTCAGCGCCTTCTCCAGCCTATTACACAGGAGCAGGAGGAGACGACCATTCGGCCCCTTCTCCAGCCGATTACACAGGAACAAGAGGAGACCATTCAGCGCTTTCTCCAGCCTGTCCCACAGGTACAAGAAGAGGCCATTCGGTCCCTTCTCCAGCCTGTCCCACAGGAAGATGAGGAGGCCATTCAGCCCGTTCTCCAGCCTGTTACGCAGGGCCATTCCCCTTTCTTTTTTCTTCCCTATTTATCCTCCACTCCTACAACATTTATGCATCGCAATCCTTCACCCCCTTATTGGCCCCCATCCCACATTCCCTTCTACCCCCAATCCCATCCCTTCCCATCATGTCCTTCACCCCCCACCCCACCCTTATTCCCCCTTATCTATTCACCCATCTTCCATCTTCTTTTGCCCACCATCCTCCTCCTCTCCTCCTTCATACTCTCCCTGTGCCCTCCCTCCTCTCTCCCCCCCTCACCATTTCCTTCTTTCTCACCTCCCTCAACTCCTCACCATCCCCTCTCACCGCTCAATTCCCTTGCCCCTCTTCTCTCCCTCCTGGCTCTTGCCCTGCCCACACACTCATCACTTCCCCCTCCCTTGCCCCCAACAACATCCCCATCCTTTACCTCCTCTTGCCTCCTCATACCATTCCCCCCCACCCACTCTTGCCCCCTCACACTGTTCCCCCACACCTACCCGCTCACACTGTTCCTCCACACCTACCCCTTCATATCTACCCCTGCCCTCTCTCACCCCCTCACACCATTCCCCAACCCCTACCCTCTCTTGCCCCCTCACACCATTGCCCCACACAAACCCTCCCACTGTTCTCCCAAGCCTACCCTCTCACACCATTCCCGCACCCCTGCTCTCTCGACCCCTCCCCTTCCACACCCCTTTCTCTTACCCTACCCCCTCACCCATTTCCCTCCCCATCCCCATGTTGTCCCCTGAAATCCTTCCCTTGCCCTTTCCCTCTCCTCACCTTGCCCTATACACGTCCTTCATGACCCTCCTCCTCATCCCCATGTTGTCCCCTGAAATCCTTGACCTTGTGCCCCTGCCCCACCTTGCCCTATACACCTCCTTCATTGCCCTCCTCTCCTTCCCTATCTTGCCCCCTCACTACGACCTTGGTCCTCGACCCCTCCCCTTTGACCCCGCCCCCGTGCATCCCTTGCCCTCTCGCTCTTTCATGGGCGGCCCCATTCACAAGATCCTCTTCCCCACGCCCCCTCCTACCGCACGACCAATCACAACCCGCGAGGTCGGGGTTCAGCTCCCTCATTGGCTCTGCTCTACGTCTCCTTCATCCCGGCGGGGACACCACATTCCGCCAATCCCCGGGGACCCTGCCGCCGCGGGGCTTTCCTATTGGCCGCAGCTGCCAGGTGAGCGTTGTTGTGGGAGTCGTGGGGGGTGGGGGTGGAGGAGGAAGGCGGGTTCCCGCTTTCCCATTGGTCGGTTCAAACAGCCAACGGTCCTTACGGCCCGGCGCGAGCGAGCGGGTGCTCACGTGACTGCACCTGGCGGGCGGTTAACGGTGAGGGAGGGGAAGGAAGAGACGATACCGCCGCCATTTTGTGGTGCGTTCAACGAAAGGTCACCCAGGGAAAGCATGGCCAACTCCCCCGCTCTATTACTGTGCCCAATGCAGGTCAAACCATGTGATTCTACCCTGACACTTCCAACATTAGAAAATTGGGTTGCCACACGTCTTTGACAGATCTCTAGACACTTAGGGCACACACTGCCATCAGCCCCACCCAGTCAAATAGCTACCTCTCCCACCAACTTGTAGGCAGTGTGTCTACATGGCAAAATTTCGCGCCCACCTGCCAAAGGAAATTCTCCTGGGTTGCCATCAGGTTTTGGTGACCTGCATTGTGCAGGACGCTTGGCATGGCTTTGGCGCTGGTGTCTAACCGAGCACTCACCAGTGTTTCCTCACCTGAATGTGCCATGGTAATCCTACACTAGGGCTCTTGTGGTGCAATTGGAGTGTCCCTACCTCTGACTCAGGAGCCTTGAGTTCAAGTCCCAGCTGCCCCAGAGAGGTGTAATGTCGCCTCTGAACACAATCCACCCCTCAACCCCCTTTCCCTTGCACATCTCCTTCATGGTTCAGGTGTTTCGGAATATGACTTGGTTATAGAGTCATACTGCACGGAAACAAACTAAATGGTCCATGCTGACCAGGTTTCCTGAACTGAACTAGTCCCAGTTGTTTGCATTTGGCCCTCTGAACCTTTGCTATCCCACGAGCCTGTCCAAATGTCTTTTAAATGTCGTCATTGTACCTGCCTCCACCACTTTCTGTGATGGTTCATTTCATACACACACCACCCTCTGTATGAAAGAGTTTCCCCAATGCACCCTAGTTTTAGACTCCCCTATCTAGCAGCACGGTGGCTCAGTAGTTAGCACTGATGCCTCGCAGCACCAGCCTCGGGTGACTGCCTGTGTGGAGTTTGTATATTCTCCCTGTGTCTGTATGGTTTTTCTCCCATAGTCCAAAGATGTGCAGGTTAGATGGATTAGCCATGGGAAATGCAGGGTTATAGGGTAGGGCGGTGGGTTTGGGTGGGATGCTGTTCAGAGCGGCCATGTGGACTTGATGGGCTGAATGGCTTGCTTCTAAACTGTAGGGATTCTATTCTATGATACCTTGCAGAAAAGACCTTATCTATGCCCTTCATGATTTTCTAAACCTCTATGAGGTCACCCCTCAGCCTCCAATGCTCCAGGGAATAAGGTCCCAGCCTATTCAGCTTCTCCTCATAGCTCAAACCCTACAGTCTTGCTAACATCCTTGTTTGTAATTCTTCTCTGCACCCTTTCCAGTTTAACAGCAACCTTCCTATAGCGGGTGACCGGAATTGTACTCAGTAATCTAAAAGTGACCTCACCAGTATCCTGTACAACCACAACATGATGTCCCAACTCCTACACTCAATGCTCTGACCAATAATGCCTTCTTCATCATCCTGTCCATCTTTGGTTTTGGGGATTTAAAGTCTCAAACTGTAAAAATGGGGTTAAATACAGGTAACGAGACCTTGAATATGGCAGAGAACTATGGATGCTGGAGATCTTAAACAAACAAAAAGGAATCAGGAATTGCTGGAGAAATTCAGCAGGTCTGGCAGCATCCATGAAGTAAAGACAGGTAATGTTTCAAGTCCAGTAACTCTTTGTGTTTAAAAAAATTAACAAAAGCTTATTACTGAAAAGGTTGGGACTACATGGACTGTAGAAGTTAACAGATGATAGTAGAATGGCTTCCTTAGGTATTAAACTGGAGATTTGATGTCTGCAATCTTTGCAGTAAGGATAGTAGAGAAAGGTGTTTTCCTTTGGGAAATGGAGGTAAATTAGTCTAAAAACAATTAGTGTATTCTGAGGGGTTGTAAAATCCATTTCTTCCATCAGATCAAGGAAGGAATTTTTAAGCAAGGAATGTTGGGAGGACAATCACAGAGCATGTAATGTCAATGTGGAAATGGGTGGAATTTAGGGAGGTCCTCTGGATTCTACATCTCAGGGTTCTTGTCGGGACAGCTAATTGGAGTTTCAACTTGGTGTATGCAGTTTCCAACTCACTGGGAGCAAATAGCAAACTAATTGACAGTTAGATTGACCTACACAGTGATCAGACGGGAAAAAAACTTTAACATTTGTCATGTGAAATGCAGGTATGATTTAACCTCAGTTTGAATTTGTGAGGGAACTCCAGAAACTTGACACTATCCGGGGACCAAGCAGCCCGCTTGATTGGCACCACACCCACAAACATCCACTCCCTCCAGCACCTCAGTAGCAGCAGTGTGTACTGTGTATAAGATGCACTGCAGAAATTCACCAAATATCCTCAGACAGCACCTTCCAAACCCATGATCACTTCCGTCTAGAAGGACAAAGGCAGCAGATACATGGGAACACCAGCTCCCATAAGAGTTAGTAAGAACTGCCGATGCTGGAGTCAGTGATAACACAGTGTGGAGCTAGAGGAACACAGCAAGCCAGGCAGCATCAGAGGAACAGGAAAGTTGATGTTTTGGGTCAGGATCCATCACCAGCTCCTGGAAGTTCTCCTGCAAGTCACTCACCATGCTGACTTGAAAATATATCGTTGTTCCTTCATGAGCATTGGATCAAAACCCTGGAATTCCCTCCCTAAGGGCATTATGGGACAACCAACAGCACATGGCCTGCAGTGGTTCAAGAAGACAGCTCACCCCCACCTTCTCAAGGGGGGGCAACTAGGGACGGGGGCAATAAATGCTGGGCCCAGCCAGTGACACCCACAGCCCACAAATGAATAAAGAAAAACAACTTGTGCATGCAGAGCACTTTAAAAGTAATAAAAGAACACAAGAACTAGGAGCAGGAGTAGGCCGTCTGGCCCTTCAAGCCTGCTCCGCCATTCAATAAGATCGTGGCTGATCCTTTCGTGGACTCAGATCCACTTACCCGCGTTCTCACCGTATCCCTTAATTCCTTTATTGTTCAAAAAAAATCTACCTTTTTTTTAAAAACGTTTACTGAAGTAGTGTCAACTACTTCACTGGAATTCCATAGATTAACAACCCTCTGGGTGAAGAAATTCCTTCTCAGTTCAGTCCTAAATCTGCTCCCTCTAATCTTGAGGCTATGCCCTCTTGTCCACAATTAGCTTTCACATCAGTGAATTTAAAACACTAAATGTGTCTTAAATATTTAATTGCTATAGTCTCCACAAGTTTCTGGGAGAGAGGATTCCAGGCATTCGCTTCCCTCTGGGAGAAGAAAACCCTTTGCATCTTGTGTGTCCTCATTCTTTAACTACGTCCCTGATATCAAGACTGCTCCACCAGTGGAAACATCTTCTTAATGCATACCCTGTGAGGCTCCTCCCTCAGAATCATGTACATGTTAATAAGATAATTCCTCGAAACTCCAAGGAAGAATGGAGTTTCACCACAGCAATCAGGGGACTGAATCTCTGTTGAACAGCTTCTAACGCCATCTTTTTCGATTCTGAATAGGGGGACCAAATCTATACACAATACTCCAGGAGTGGCCTCGCTAATACCCTGTACAGTTGTAACAAGACTTTACTGTTTTAAAATGCCAACCAATCCAGGTAATGAAGGCCAAAATTCATTTAACTTCTTAATTCATCTGGAGCACCTGCATGCGAACATTTTGTGTTTCACATGAAAGAACACGCAGATCCCACTTCGCTGCCCTTACTTCGAGTCTTGCTCCATTTGAACCATAATTCGCCTTTTGATTCTTACAAACAATGTCCACGATCTTGCACTACCTAATCGATAATTTCCATCTGCCAAGATGGACGGTAGATACTGATGGTGTGCTGCTCTATCTACAATAGTAACAGTAGTTCATTTCACCTTCCCCAGTATGAACTGGAATAGACAGAGTACGAAGGGTACGATGGAATGGAATTCTTAAAGTGGATCCACGTAGCCCTTTAAGCCAGGACTTGGGATGTCCTACAAGAGAGTGGGCAGGTGCTGACCTTGAGTTTAGAAAGTGAAGCCAGGCGAGTGGTGGATGTAGCAGTGGGGGGAGTATTTCAGTGATAGCGATCACAATTCAGTAAAAGTTGTGGAAAAGAACAGAGATGGTGTGGAAACAGGGCAGCACGGTGGCACAGTGGTTAGCACTGCTGCCTCACAGTGCTAGGGACCCGGGTTCGATTCCAGCCTCGGGCGACTGTCTGTGTGGAGTTTGCACATTCTCCCCATGTCTGCGTGGGTTTCCTCCGGGTGCTCCGGTTTCCTCCCACAGTCCAAAGATGTGCAGGTTAGGTGGATTGGCCACGCTAGATTGCCCATAGTGTTCAGGGAGGTGTAGATTAGGTGGGTTATAGGGGTTGGGTCTGGGTGGGATGCTCTGAGGTTTGGTGTGGACTTGTTGGGCCGAAGGGCCTGTTTCCACACTGTAGGGATTCTATGATTCAATCGGAGGGTCAGTGCTGAGGGAGCGCCACACTGCCGTAGGATCAGTGCTGAGGGAACACCGCACTGTCGGAGGGTCAGTACTGACAGAGCGCCGCATTGTCGGAGAGTCAGTGCTGAGGGGGCGCCACAATGTCGGAGGATCAGCACTGAGAGAGTGCTGCACTGTTGGAGGGTCAGTACTGAGGGAGCGCCGCACTGTTGGAGGGTCAATACTGACGGAGTGCCACATCATTGGAGGGTCAGTACTGAGGGAGCACTGCATTGTTAGAGGGTCAGCGCTGAGGGAGCGCTGCACTGTTGGAGAGTCAGTAGTGAGGGAGTGCTGTACTGTCAGAGGTTCTACCTTTATGAATGAGACATTAAACTGAGATGCTGTTTGCTTTCGGGTGGTCTATCTCTATTCCTTTGTCTGGGTTTCTCTCTCTCTCCCA